CCTAACATAAGTGAAGTTAAATTTCGTATTATTTAGATAATCCTTAATCACCTATCTTTTCCTAATTTGTAGGATTTTAAGAATTTTCTCCTAATAATTTTTGCCCCCTTACATCACCCCAAATAGAACTTGATACATGGAAAACCTGAGATTGAAACTTACCTTAATTTGAAACGGAACCATACCTGAATTTGATTAGAATCAAGTTCTACTTGTAGCAAAAATTGTAAATGACCTAACATAACTCGAACCAAACTTGACACGACTTAAACCTATCCTGGTGTAGGAGTATGATTTACCCTACATGGACTAGTTCGAGTTTGACCCAAAACCCTATTTGACCAAACCTGGACCTAACTTGAACACCCAAATTGACGACTTTGATTTTAACTTGTACTCTGTAACATTTTTGTTCGTTAAATATGAAAAAAAAAAAACAAATCAAATCACTGAAGTTATAAAATTAATGAGATGATAGCGCTTAAAAGGCCAAGTTCACTTCACCTAAAAAATATAATATTAAGTAAAAATAATTTCAGTTAATAAAAAATAATTTCAATATAGTAAAAATAAGTTCAGTTTAGTAAAAATAATTACATTTCAGTAAAAATGAATAACTTTAAAGAAGAAATATAACGTAAAATCAGTAAAATAATTAAAGTTGAGCAAAAATAATTTCAATTCAGTAAAATTAATTCCAATTTATTAAAAAAATTTAAGTTCAGTAAAAATAACTTAAGTTCGGTAAAAATATTTTTAGTTCAATAAAAATAATTTCAATTCCGCAAAAATAAGGTGAAATGAACGGGACGACAGTTAAAACCGTTCAATTCACATAATGATGATTTACATATCTACCAAAGGAAGGAAAATGAGTAAATTTAATAAAAAATAGATAAAGTGTCATTAATTTAACTCATGACAATCAGTTGTACCCAATTAAGAATTAGGGTGTTACATAAAATTTTTTACATATCACCATTCAACTCTTTGGAAGATTTCCCCTTTTTACAATAGTACTGGGTTGTGATTAGGGCTTTTTTCTAGTCACGTGGACCAATTAAATTCTACCACGTGTCATCCACGTGGACCAACTAGGGTCCTCCACGTGTCACCTCGTGAGAGGTCCAAGGTGGACCAATCAGGCTACAACACGTGGCAGATTTCCCACACATAGGAGTCTCCATTGTTTTGCAGGTACAGACGTCCAAAGGTTAGTCTTGGTTTTGTAACTCTCTTGCAGAACATCCAAAAAACCCCGAAACATTTGGCGCCATCTGTGGGGAGAGTACATCTTAGATGGCTTCACAAGAACATGTACCGCCTCTTAATGAGAAACGGCCTATGGCCAACGTCCAGGTCTATACAGACCAGGATACAGATGACGACTATGAGGTCGATATACACACGGCCCCTTACGGTCCCTAAGGACTAGGCGCATCCATCCCATCGAAAGGAGGGACGGAATGAGGAACAGGCGAGCCTTAGTGAACAAGTCGGCAAGTCGGTTGGTCAGCCATAGGTGGCCAAAGATCCATCCCTATCACTAGAAACAAGCTCATGACTCTCATGACAAGTTTAAAGGGGAGATTAAGCACCTGATTGACAAACGGACGGTTGTTTCCAACAGGGACCAGTCGGCCAAGAAGCCCTCTCATTCTGAGAGGAATAAGCCAGTCAAAGACCGCGAGGCCACTCCTTACCCTACAACTAGGGAGGGCAGAGGCCCTTGTTAAATTTGGATAAACTCCGGTTCCCTGAGCAAGGGAAGTGGAAGGCCATCCGGCATGTACAGCCGGATGGTTAAAAAAAAACTTATTCTGATGCCCGAATGTTAATCCAGTAGAAGAAGAACATGCAACTGTCAGTGTCGGCTTCAATGTCGAACTTACAAGACAGTTTTCAAAATACCTCAATGAGGTATTCTAAATAAAATCGAGAGAACCAGACAGGCGGCATGTCCGCCCACTCTAGTCCTCTGATATACACGTTTTATACATAGATTTATCCCGATATTACATCACTTTCTTGCATGGTTTTAGGCTCTTTAGAGCCATTTCTTGTTAACAATCTCTTCTCTAGTGTGTTCGGTGTGTTTTTATAAGTTTTAGTAGGAATACGGAGTTTCTGGGATGAATCGGACGTGTTTTGGATGATTATAGAAGAGGTTGGTGTGTGAAGAAGAAGGTTTCCCCTATGCCCTGTTGACCCTAGCTTGCCCGGTTTAACAGGGCAATGAAAGATGAGTTTAATACGGAGTAATTGCTGCAGCTCCTATGTGCCCGATCAGGCATGGTCCGCCCAGTGGGACCGGGCACGGAGGAGTAGAGTTCTAGCGTTGAAACAAGAAGGCAGCAATTGATTTGGAGAAGCATAGTTGCGCGCCAGATCGGGCACCACCCGTCCGGTGGGACTCGGCGCAAGGGAGAAGAAGCCAAACGCAAATGGAGCAAGCCGTATACCATCCGCCCGATCAGGCGGTGCTCGCCTGGTTAGACCGAACAAAGGCTTGCGGAATCCGATTTTAATATCTTCACAATTTTATCTTGTTAAGGGTATAAATACCCCTTGTAATCATCATTAGAACATACTTTATTACCTCCTTATGTTTTATTTCTCTCTCTAGAACCCTAGTTTATTACTTTTAAGCAAATTAATTCCTTCATTAGATTTGAGTTTTGATAATTAACAATTTGAGTTATTTTAATTGAAGCATCATTGGTATTCATCTTTATGCCTTTCTCTTTCAATTATTTTTGTTTTCAATTATGTTTTCCTTGATTATTATTGTTATTGCTTCTTTCAATATGTGTGAGTAGTTTTTATATTCCAAGATCTAGGGTAGCCCAATTACGATTAATGCATGAATTGATTCTTTAAAATCTCTAATAGCTATTGCAATTGTTTATGATAAATTGATTGTGATTATGCCAATACTAGATTAGAGATAATTAGTATTGTTATTATTCCATAGTTCTAATCACAACGAGAGTTGGGTTTTAACGGAATTGAGTAAATTAATTTAGGGTTTGAAGTTCATCACCAGCGTAGTTGATTTGATAATTAGGAAGTGAAATAAGGTGTTTAATGTCTCTAATTTGCATGATTCCATGAGAATAGGCTTGATTGTATGTTAGGGAAGCCATTGATACTCGAGAGAGGTCCTTGGTATTGATTAGGATTTACTTTTTCCCATGTTAATTGGAATTGTATGTAAGGGGTAGGTATATAATTGCATCGATCGTAATTGTTGTGATACTTGATCTTGGATGTTTTAGCTATTTGATTTATTATATTCGTTGATTTATTCTAGTTTTCCATACATTAGCTTTTAGTTTATTCCACCATTGTTTGATTCTTGCTTGGTAATTACTTGAGTCTAGATAATTTAGGTGAACTTTAGTCTCTTGGGATTCGACCCTTACTTGCCTGATTACATAGTTAGGAGGAATAGTTAGGTTATTTTTGTTAGGTACGCGACACGCCTATCAAATTTTGGCGCCGTTGTTAGGGACTAACTGTTTCATTTGATTATTTGTGATTCGTTTTTGCTAAGCTTTATTCGTTGTTTCGACTATTTTCTCTTGTGCTTTTGATATTCTCTTTCTAGTTTTCTTGTTGCATGCAAACACGACGTTCAGGGTCAGACGATCTTGAACTATATGACTCTGAAATCGAGGCAACTATAAGGAGAAGGAGAACAAGAAATCGACATAATAGAAACATGGTAGACCAAGGAACAAAATCTCTTTTAGAGTACGATATTCCTAATACGACAACCAAAATCCTCTCTAGCATTGTCAGGCCACCTGTCACTGCTTAGCACTTTAAATTGAAACCACAGTTCATTCAATTCATCTCCAATGACTCTTTTGCAGGCACACCACATGATTGCCCATTAAGTCACATTGATTGTTTCTTGGAGAAATAATATACTATGAAAATGAATGGTTTTATGGATGATGCTATCAGACTTTGCCTTTTCCCTTTCTCATTACAAGATAGGGCGAAGGAATGGTTGAGAGATGAAGGCACTGGCTCGTTTGATACATGGGAAAAGCTAGTGAAAGCTTTTCTAGTAAAGTTTTTAGGACAGGAAAAGACGGCTAGGTTAAGGAACGAGCTAGCTACCTTTCATCAATCTGATGATGAGTCTTTATATGAGGCATGGAGAACATTCAAGCACATACAGAGACAATGCCCTCATTACGGTATCCCAGAGTGGCTGTTGATCCAAACATTCTACAATGGTCTGACCCATGAGTTTCGTATAAACATTGATGCTGCATCCGGGGGTTCTCTCATGACTAAGAACCCAACTGAAGCCAAGGAGCTAATTGAGAAGATGATAGCCAATGACAATTATCATCCAGGGGGCAAGAATACTATGAAGACTAGAGGGAAATTTGATGTTGATGCTTTAACTCTCTTGACAAGTTCTATACATGCATTAACAAGCAAGTTTGATAAAATCCAAGTTGGATCCACTTCCACTTCTTTAGAAACATGTCAACTATATGGTATTCAAGGCCATATTCCACAACAATATCAACCTCCCTCTGATGAAATGTCAATCGAGCAAGCAAATGCCTTCTATACTACGACACCTAAAAGGCCATATGATGCTCATTCAAACACATACAATGAAGGGTGGAGAAATCATCAGGACTCCTCCTATAAGAACACTCAAGCTCAATTGTATTCTCCACCACAACCACCTAGTTTTCAAGCAAGGGCATCTTTTAATCACCAACCCATGAATCAAAAACCTCCACCCCAATATTCAAAATACAATCTTGATTCCATCATGGAGACTTTCACTACCTCCCTAATTCGACAACAAGAGCTTATGACAAAGCAATTCGAGCTACAAGCAAAGCAAATTTAACACTTTGAAAGCTTGATTCAATTGCTTATTGCTCAAAACAAGAGGACAGAAACTCACCTTTCTCAACTTACACAACAAGTGAGTCATTTATCAACTCTTCATGATTAAGCAAATGTCCAAAGCGAACAATTTCAATGCAGTTTTCTTGAGAAGAGATGAATCATTTTCGAGGAAAATAGATGAGAAAGTGAGCAGTGTGGAGTCAAGAAAAGATGAAAAGTGTGAGGATGTAAAAAGCCCCTAATATGTTGCTCCACAGGCCTATGAGGAATCGATGCCCTTCCCGCAAAGGTTATCAAAAGCCGTGCTCAATAAACATTTTGGGAAATACTGAGAGACTCTTAAGAAGGTATATGCTTCTATTCCTTTTTTCGATCTTTTAATTCAAATACCTCAATTTGCAAATTTTGTGAAGAATATTAAAGATCAACATGATGATAAGAAAGTAGTAAATGAGAAGCGCTCTACTATTTTAATTGATAGCCTACCACCTAAGCTGCATGATCTTGGTAGTTTTACTATTCCCTGTATGGTAAACGACATATATTTTTACAAGGTCTTGTGTGATTTAGGTGCTAGTGTAAATTTAATGCCTTATTCACTATATGAAAAATTAGGTCTGAAAAAACTTAAACCTTCCCCTATTTCTCTTCTAATGGCTGATAGGACTGCTAGACTCCCTAAGGATGTGGTTGAGGATGTATTAGTTAAGGTTGGTGAACTTGTTTTTCCTGTTGATTTTGTTGTTATGGACATGAAAGAAGACCATAAGATCCCGATTATATTCGGTCGTCCATTTCTTGCCGCAAGTCAAGCTCTAATAGATGTTCCTAAAGGACAAGTGACCATTAGGGCCTAGAATAAACATGTCATGTGTAAGCTCTATAATGAACATAATTTTATATTTGATGGTGGTACTTGTTTAAGAATTGATACTACTAACCCTTTGGTTGATAAGTGTGTAATTGGTAGAAATTTTGGGACAAACGAGAACAAAATTCCACCAAATGATGTGTTTAGCTACATGAAGGTAAGTTTGGATACAAAGCATGTCAAATATAAAGTGAAAGAGTCACTTAGAGGCAGATATTTTCATGAGCAACATCGCGGAGTTCCTTCTTCGTTTGGTGACCCAGGTTGAGCTAATAACGAAGGTCAAACTAAAGACCTTGATAAACTAGCGCTTTGCGGGAGGCAACCCGTATTTTATTGTTTTTATTGTAGTCTTTTCTAATTTTTGTGTGTTTTTGTTTGTCTTTTGCTTTTAGAGAGGTAAGGAGAGTGTAACTTGCGCTTGTGGGAGTTTGTTTTTATGCAGATTGTTAGCCAAAAAGAGCTGAATTCGTTAAACCTTTCAATATCCTTCGCGCCTGATCGGGCACCCCTTGCCCGGTCAGACCGGGCGCGCATACGTTTCAGCAAAACTGCTCAAGTTCGACAGGCCATAACTTTTGCGTTACTAAACGGATTTTTCCTATGACCTATCGTCGGAAAGCTTTTCAAGTCTACTTTCCAATGCAATTAGAATCACTACATTATCAATTATACATCAAAAGTTATGATTGGAATAGTGCACATGACTCAATTTTAATCCTTTTCCCCACTAACTTCCCTTTAAGACAATGAGGACATTGTCTGATTTAGCTTGGGGGGAAGTTCTTGTGTACACAAGGTATATCTTTCACTCTCTCTTTCTACTTTAGTGTGTTTAGACTAGCCATAAGGTTTAATGCTTTCATTCGGAAAAAAAAAATTAAAATGAAAAATACGAGAATCATGATAATGAATGGCCATTGATCTACTTTCCTGTGCCCCTATCCTTAATGCCAAAAAGGTTTTGATTTAATTTCGATTGAAAGACTTGCATTATGGATTAAAAGATCATGATTTGACCTTGAATTGGTTGATCCCTAGTAGGGGTCAAAGCTATTAACCATGTATGATTTAGGAGCTTGACTATGTTAACCGTGAGGCTTGAGCCTTATATATTCATTCATGTGTGTGTTTAGTTCCTAGTGTAGCATTGATCTTAGTTTTGACTCTAAATTCTTAGTAGTGTGTCGTAATGCATTGCACGTGCACTTTCAAAATGACGAAGGCCATGTTCATTAGGAGACCTCCAGACGAATTTAGAACATCTGTTCCCTTCTTGCTCACCCATGTTGTAGCTTGACTATATTTTCCGTGAACTTCACAAAAATTACCCCTTAGCCCCAATTTGGTTACTTTCCCCAAGTCTAGCTCGGGGGAGCTATATTATGCGGAATTTTATGTGATTTTATTTCAAGTTGCAATTGATGAGAGATATATGAAAAAAGAGAGAAAAGAAGGAAACTAGCATGGAGCTTTGTTGAAAAAAAACATTAAGAAAAAAAAGAGAATGAATCGAAGAACAAAGAAGGAAAATCTTGTGCTTAAAATGAAGGAAATGTCTTTATTCTCGAGAAAAGGAAAAAAAAAAGAAAAGTAAAAAAAAAGAGAGGAAAAATGTTGATGTGAATAAAATAATAAAAAGAAGCTTGAAGTTGGAAAAGTAATGGGTGTTTTTATTGTAGTTGGGTTTATGTTTTGTTGATAAAAAATGGTGAATCGAGGGTGTAAATCATTACATTTGATAGCTCCCCGGTTAGACTAATATAGCCCACATTTCCCAAATTACTTCATACACATTCTTAGTTCCGGCCTACGTTACAAGCTTGAAAAAGTCCTTCCGATCTTCGTGCATAGCATCATGTGAAACGAGTCTTTTGTCAAAATGCTGGAGTATATGTTACATTTCGAGTCGACATTTGACTAGGTTGAGCAATATTATAACCTCTAAACACGCGAGTGTTGTGAGATGGGGGGATTGCATTATTGGTGGGGATGGTGATAGATCGAGCTCATTTTTAGCTTGCCACATAAAAAGTGTGTTGAGTGACCACCGATGTGAGATATTCTAGTCATCGATTCTTGAAATATACATGGTTGGTCTCGTTTGACAACTAATTAGGTGGATCGACGGTTTAAGTGATTTGATTGGTTGGCTAAGATGCATGCTTGTTTGATTTTTATTTTGAATCCGTGTTTTAAATTTGCATTATGGGGTGAAGTATGTTGTTTGGTTGTCTGTTATGTTTTATTGTCTCGCTTGAGGACAAGAAAGAGTTTAGCTTGGGGGAATTTGATATACAAATTTTATACACATTTGATATACACATTTTATGCATAGATTTATCCCGATATTACATCACATTCTTGAATGGTTTTAGGCTTTTTAGAGCCATTTCTCGCTAACAAACACTTCTCTAGTGTGTTCGGTGTATTTTTATAAGTTTTAATAGGAATACGAAGTTTCTTGGATGAATCGGACTTGTTTTTGATGACTATAGAAGAGGTTGGTGTGTGAAGAAGAAGGTTTCCCCTATGCGCTGTTGACTCTAGCTTGCCCGGTCCAACAGCGAAATGAAAGATGAGTTTAATACAGAGTAATTGCTGCAGCTCCTACGTGCCTGGTCGGGCATGGTCCGCCCGGTGGGACCAGGCACAGAAGAGTAGAAGCCTAGCGTTCAAACAAGAAGGCAACAATCGATTTGGAGAAGCATAATTGCGCGCCCGATCACGCATCACTCGCCCGGTGGGACCAGGCTCAAGGAAGAAGAAGCAAAACGCAAGTGGAGCAACCCGTATACCATCCGCCCGATCGGACGGTGCTCGCCTGGTTGGACCGGGCAAAGGCTTGCGAAATCCAATTTTAATATCTTCGCAATATTATCTTGTTAAGGGTAGAAATACCCCTTGTAATCATCATTAGCACATACTTTATTATCTACTTAAGATTTATTTATCTCTCTAGAACTCTAGTTTATTACTTTTAAGCAAATTAATTCCTTCTTTAGATTTGAGTATTGATAATTAACAATTTGAGTTATTTTAATTGAAGCATCATTGGTATTCATCTCCATGCCTTTCTCTTTCAATTATTTTTGTTTTCAATTATGTTTTCCTTGATTATTATTGTTATTGCTTCATTCAATATGTGTGAGTTGTTTTTATATTCCAAGATCTAGGGTAGCCCAATTATGATTGATGCATGAACTGATTCTTTAAATTCTCTAATAACTATTGCAATTGTTTATGCTAAATTGATTGTGATTATGCGAATACTACATTAGAGATAATTAGTATTGTTATTATTCCATAGTTGGGTTTTAACGGAATTGAGTAAATTAATTTAGGGCTTGAAATTCATTACGAGAGTAGTTGATTTGATAATTGGGAAGTGAAGTAAGGTGTTTAATGTCTCTAATTTGCATGATTCCATGAGAATAGGCTTGCTTGTATGTTAGGGAAGCCATTGATACTAGAGAGAGGTCCTTCGTATTGATTAGGATTTACATTTCCCCATGTTAATTGGTATTGTTTGTTAGGGGTAGATATATAATTGCATCGATCGTAATTGTGGTGATACTTGATCTTGGATGTTTTAGCTATTTTATTTATTATATTCGTTGAATTATTCTAGTTTTCCATACATTAACTTTTAGTTTATTCCACCATTGTTTGATTCTTGCTTGGTAATTACTTGAGTCTAGATAATTTAGGTGAACTTTAGTCTCTTGGGATTCGACCCTTACTTGCCCGACTACATAGTTAGGAGGAATAGTTAGGTTATTTTTGTTAGGTACACGACTCGCCTGTCATCCTCAGATGCTCCATGCCGTATGGACAACCTTATATGCAGCCATACATACCGTATGGACAACCTTATATGCAGCCGACCCTCTTTGGGGGGTAGGCGGCACATAATGTCCAACCCTTGGGCTAGCAGCTTCGACTGCTAAAACTGGGGAAGCAGGCCCTCCGCGTTTTCCAAGGAAATAACTGAGGCTGCTCAACCGGGAAAAGTGAAAAATGTGTTGGTAGGTACCTATAACGGTACCACCAATCTAGAAGATCACCTTATGGAATACACCAACCTTATGTATCTTCAAGGGTTGGATGATGTTGTATGGTGTATATTCTGCCTGACCACATTGAAGGGCATCGCCCAACAATGGTTCGGCAACCAGCCACCCGGATGAATAAATAACTTTAAGACGCTTGCATACTTTTTTGCGTCCAATATTTCAATGAACATCCCTGCAAAGAAAACAAGTCTTGACTTGCGGGCTATACAGCAGGGAGAGAAAGAAGGGCTACGGTCATACGTTAGGCGGTTCAATTTGATGAGAATACAAATTCAAGGGCTATCTGATAAGATGGCCTATACTAACTTTTTCAAAAGTCTCAAGGATGGCTTGGCCTTTAAGTTCGACCTCGTCAGGAAGAGGGTTGCTACCCTCCAAGAAGCACTGATGGAGGCAGACGCCTATATACAGGCGACTAAGCTCTGTCATGTCAGTAAACAGTCAGACTCAAAGAAGTCCAACAAAAGAGATAGTCGGTCATAACAACCGGCTAAGAAGGAAGAAAAGAACTTTGGGTGGCTGTTTAGAATTATTAGAAAGCTAATTCTGGTATAAGGTTGCTTATTCCTTCCAACAAGTGTATTATTCTGGTAGAAGGTTTAGAAATATTAGAAAGCTAATTCTTCAGTAAGGTCAAGTGATCGGAATGCCTAGGTGGAGGCCACTTCCGATCAGTAATGTTAATGTAAAATTAATATTACAGCTTAATCTTGACTGAACCCTTCGGGTCAAATCCAATCGAACAACTGATCCTAGACGATGAATCAATCCGATGGATTTAATAAGTCGTCAGAGTTTTACGAAGAAAGACGTCGGATATCGAGCTTAGAGCGTCGAGATCGAGCGTTGCAAGTCGAGTCGAATAAAGAATTCAACGAGACTTGAAATCAATCAAGTAACAAGTTCGAGC